TTCAAATACAACTACAAATTGATCTAAATTTCAAATACAAAATTGACCTAAAAATTCAAATACAAATACAAATTGAACTAGAATTCAAATGCAACTACAAATTGAACTATAATTCAAATACAACTACAAATTGAACTAGAATTCAAAATAAAACTAGAATTCAAAATAAAACTACAAATTGATCTAAATTTCAAATACGAATAAAATTGAACTAGATTTCAAATACAACTACAAATTGAACTACCGACCAGACTTTAATTGTTCGTACAAGAGTAGTCGGGGTTTGTACGTTTTGAGTAAGTGCCTCAAGTTTTTAGCTCTATGGTGTACCCATGCCGGATGGATTGGTGGTAGTGGACTATTTGCGACCAAATTAACAAACATGAAATGATTGTTGTGCAATGTCACAACAATCATACATGATAAGTGACCACTGCCAAACATAGGAAGGTAAGTCATACTCCCTACTTGAGTCAAAAGTACCACTAATGCATTGTATCTGGTAGCAATGGCCAATCCCATTTCATTCATGTCCATCCAATAAGCTTGTGGACAAGGCCCTGAGGTCCAGTCACACTTGCGTATGGCCTCAACGTATCCGGTACTGCCAAACATCGCCGTGTAGACACTAGCATGCTCGTATAACTCAATAAGCAACTCCCCTCTCACTTGCGGCCATCTTTCTTGATCCCCGTACACGGCTTGAGCAACACACCGGTACCCACAGTTGCCATCCGCCATCACGTTAACATAATCTTGAATAAGACGGACCATAAATCTGGGCACGAAAGAATAAAAGTCGATTCCTTCATGTGCAGGTATTGTAGGGGCAGCAGATTCTTGTGTGGCAATACGAGAACCACGACCTTTCATCTTCGATTGAGGCGTTCCATCAGTGCTTCTCTCAACCTTTGTTTTAGGAATCTTTGCACCAGATGAGGTTTGGCGACCCATGGAACCACAAGACGACTTAATTGTCTCCTCATCAATATGATACTGCCATCCAGAAGGGTCTCTCTTTGTCGAGTTATTCTTTGGTCGTCCTTTGGTCTTAACAAATGATGGCTCGGACAGATGCGACGTAGACGGATAAACGATGCCACGCAATGAGGCCACGACATTTATCTTACTCGTGTAATTCATCTTCTTCAAATTGCAATTCAGGTCATCAATCTGTCTATCCACAATCTCCTCGCGGTTTACTTGATACTCAGGTAGCTCCGAAGGCTCAACTACCATGGTACTCCAGAATGGATGCAAGTCTGAAATGACGAACGTGTCATTATCACTACAAGAAAAAAGACTTTCAACAACACAAGTTTAACAACATGCGGGGAAAGTATGTTGTTATTTAACATATATCACAACGTGCTTTTAAAGCGTGTTGTTATTAGCGACACTTGAATATATTTCACAACATTTTAATTTTGCCCGTTGTTAAATTTACATACCACAAGGTTCATTCGCGTCTTGTCAAATTATACATTATTTACAACACACGCCGTGCGTTGTCATTAATTATCATGTATTACAACTTGCATTTGCCCTTGTAAAATTTATTCAAATTTTATCCAACCAAAGTTTAAAGACTTTTGATTTCCCCCTTCTCGTTTTTATTTCCCTCTTGTTTACTTTTTCATTATATTTGTTTTCTAATTTCCCTCTTCTAATTTTTCTTTCCCTCTTCTTTTTACGCCTTTTCTTTTCCTCTTTCATTTTCCTTTTCTTATTTTCGCATTTATTTGAAACCCTAACAGACCCCTTTCTCTCTCTATCTCGTTGTCTCTTTCGTCTCCACCCCGTCGGCCAGCCTTTCATAGACGCCTCTACCACCGCCAGCCTCTCCATCGTTTCAGGTAAAATATATTTGTTCCAATCTGTAAATTGAGATTTGCAATTGATTGGGCCATTTTATCTCTTCCGCTTAAATTCGATTTCTTTAATATTTTTTTGTTCTTCAAAATAAATTGGATTGATTTTATTGTATTCTTCTCTTGAAATTAGGCTTCATGTACAGAGATTTTTTTGGAGAAACTATGGGTAGTTGTCCATTCTCATGTGAGTTGGATGTCATTTGTTCGCAATTATATAGAATTATGGCAATCTCATGTTCCAGGTACTTCATTTTAAATTACAGGACAATATATATATATCAATGTATAATTAATTTGAGGAAAAGTTAATGGTTTGTTCTCCTAGTTCAAAGGCATTAGGAATAAATTGATAAATTTCAGCAGTCGATTGGTTCATTGCATAGATACATCATTCGAAGAAGTCTATTATTATATATACATATTTTAAAAATTTATATTCGATTCCTAGTTGTATATGTATGTCGTTTTTGTTTTCTATCTATTTATATCATCTTTGTTATTTTCTCATTTGTATAGCAACTAATACTTTCGTTTGATTTTTGGATCTGAATGTATAACAGTTTATTATAATAAATACAATGTTGAAGATTTATGTGTCTGGTCACTGTCCTCGTGCCTTTTCATTATTTTTGACACAGTTAAATATGAACAACATTTCAAGGAATATGTGGAAGCAATATGTAACAGTCTTGCTACTACATACGACAAATTGCAGTCTCCGTGAGATAATTATATGTTGAAGGTACCGTCTTTGTGTTATTCGTTTCTTAACTTTCCAAAAGTCTGATTTGTTGTTATATTATATTTTATTATCTTTTTTTTAATATGTTCTAATTCCCATACTTTTTCTTACCGATTAAAATGACCAGGCACCAAATTTGCGGCACCAACATATTTTGCACCCGACCCAAGAACTACATTTTTGACTGGCGACTAAAAATATGCTAACACTTGTATCGTAATTAATGTTGAGCAGTGCAGTCAATTTGATTTATATTTTGGGAACATGTAAATTGATTTGATGTATTGTTATGCTATTTATATAGCTGATATTTATGTTTATTAACAGTTTGACTTGTGTTTTCATTCTCTTTTGCAGTAGACTAGGTGAAGATCTAATAATTCTACAAGATATTGTATTTTCGATTACGGTAAAACACTCTGTATTGTATTTTCGATTACGGTAAAAGAAAGTGTGATTTCGATAAACTTACATGCTATTGTATTTTTATGTTGGTTCATTTTTGTCCTGGTGTTGATAGTTAAAGTATGTTTATTGATGCAGAAAAACTTTCATGCATGGAGGGGAGAGGATACGACAAGTTTGACAGTAATGAATTAGTTTAGCCTTATATCTCGTATTATGTTTTGGGTAATTGGTTTTGACTTGATTAAAATGTGGATGATTTTGTGACTGTATAAAGTCTTGTATTTTGTTTGTCTGACAATCGATAAGTATTCTATTTATTTTTTAGAATGTTTCTCAAAATTTTTGAACGTCTATTACTGTGTATTTTGAACGAGTTTGTGCATTGTTGACTATGCGATTATAGAATTGTTGGATAGTTTTTTATTTAAAGGATTTTTGTGTATATTGGATTGAAATTTATTAGAAATCGGACTTCTTTGTACATGATTACGATTATATTTTTTTTTCTGATAACAAATTATTCAACAAGGTGCAAACAAATGTTGTCGAAACTCTACCACAAGATGCCACGGTGCCTTGTTATAAGGTCTGTTACAACATACTTATACATGTTGTGATTAGCTTATCACAACATAATGCGCATGTTGTTATAATACGAACCACAACACACGGCTCAAGTTGTTAAATTCCTTATGCTTTAACAACATGTTGGTCTACAACATTCACGCGCGTGTTGTCTATATAGTTTAACAATACGTATCGCGTGTTGTCAAAAGGCCATTTTCTTGTAGTGTATCTTCCATTTTCTGCACAATTTTGCACGCGCATGGGAGCCCATGAGTATTCCAAAGATAGTGTGTGCAAATACTCGGATCTTGCATCGCCGGGGACTCCATCTCTTCATCCAATTTCTCTAATGCCAGATGCGTAACATAACAAATCAAACCCTGAAAACACGGCCATGCTGCAGTATGCTTCCTTATCTTGGATGATAATGAAAAATCGCACTTCAGCTCACTAATTTGGATATAAACTTGGTCCCGAAGTTTGCCTTGCACGTTATCCAGACCTCCGGTCGAAGCATTTAACCAACCCTTCGCTGAAGAATGAGCGCTCTCCACCCTATCCAATTACAACAACAATCAGAGCATACAACGACAATCAAATTACAAAATAAATATTATTTTTATATAATATCTTTTATCATTTAAATAACTAAAACATGTAATACCTGTTGGTGCTCGTGTTGCCAAAATGATACACATTGCGAGTATAGGCACGAACAAACTTCTCCTTGTATATCAACCACGTATCATTCAAATACTGTATCAGCCTAGGATACCCTGCATACCGTCCAACAATTTCATTGTAATTGTAATGATACTCTTCTTCGGTTTCTGATTTCACCAGCTTAGCCCACAGCACACGTCGGAATATTAGACCTTGGTCCTTGTTGCCTCCCATAAATTTCGTCGCATTTGCCTCAACATTTCTGTTTATATGGAATATACACAACATATGATACGAAAATGGGAAGACATTTGGCAGTGCTTTCAAAAGACCCAACTCTCTGTCTGTCAAAATCGCATCAGGTTCGACACCATCTAGCAACTCTTTCAAACAATTCAAAGTCCACTCGTAGGTGTCTGCATATTCATGCGACATAAATGCAACAGCAATTGTATAATTCCTCCCAACTGGAGTTATCCCAATTATTTCCAAAAGAGGCATTCCATACCTACAACAATGTTGTTTTTACATATTTAAACAATACAAGACATTAAAACACAATAATCATAATTTGAACAATCGTAATTTTTACTTACTTATTGGTTTTGTATGTGCAGTCCATCAATATAACATACGGGAACAACCGTAATAACTTAATAGATTCGGGACATGCAAACATAATATCTGTAATCGTGTTGCTCGTTTCACTATCGACGCGATGCCAATATCGATACTCGCCTTTTTGAAAGTTATGCATCATAAACTGAATAACAGTCATGCCCTCCATTTCCTCAGATTTAATCTTGGCCAACTCATTGTAAACATGCTTCATAGAGGTTTGTATCGTCGGATCATCTTTTCTCAGTCTATCCATGATCAGCATTGGCTTCACGTGAGAATTTCGCAATTCTTTAATTCTTGCTTTCTGTTGTGGAGTTATACGACTAGTCGTACCTTGTCCGTGAGGAAACAAATTCGGACGATGACTATGCCTGCCATCGCTGACAGTCAACCGCCATAATTCATCAAACCTTGACCTTTTGCCAATCAATTTGAACGGACAACCACATTTTTTTGTTCCTGAGTTTCTAGGATCTTCCACATCGATATTCGTTTGTCGGCCATGTCCGTATTTGTCACACGTCATGTACTGTGCATTCTCCCTTCTAGACTGACAAATCAAACGGTGACAATGACTAACTGCAGTTTCTTTCGCCCAGTTGATTAATTCTTCCCTACTGCCGAACACAATATCAACTTGGAAGAAGTGAGAGAAATCTTCATATTCCTTTTTATCCAAAACCGAGGGATCAAAATACAAATTGTCGTCATATGGCTGCGTAAATACAAAAAAAAGGTTAGATACTTGCACAAAAAAAATTAATAACAATACTAGGTATTTCGTGTATAATTACACGAAGTATATGCATACATTTCGTGTAATTTTACACGAAATGTATGCATACATTTCGTATAGTACTGCACGAAATAAATAACAAAACATTTTTACTGATATTTCGTGTGACTTTACACGAAATAATAGGTATCATTTCGTAGTATTGTACACGAAATGACTGGAAAACACGAATAAAGTGTTCATTTCGTGCAAAACACCACAAAATGACTTGAATAATTTCGTGATATTCTACACGAAACGACTGAAAATCGAAAAAAATCACACTAAAACGTATTTTTTTACCTCATTTACGGGATCGATGTTGGCCATCTTGATAATCGTTGGGTTTTAACTCATTTCTACGAAAACAAATCACGATCTACGAAAGTCGAAATATTTGAAGGTTGAGAGGATTTTGTAAAAGGTTAAAGTGTTTTTTGACAAATGAATTATTTTGCACTGTAGCTGGAAAAAACCGCACTGATAATAGCAAGCCCCTATATATATATATATATATATATATATATATATATATATATATATATATATATATATATATTTTGATCAGTAGGTAATGTATATATTCAAGCAAAGCAATTTTATGTTTTGTATATCACTACTAACTCATGATTCTTGTTACATATATTAGCATCATCGGGAATCTAGGAGAAACGAAGATGATTCCGGTCTGGTTTGCAAGAAGAATCGATATCCAAATGTATATAACCTGTAGCTTATAACTGCCCACAAAGATTTGAAGTGTAGAATTTGCCGAGTGAGTTTTGCTATCTTGCTTTTCTCCCTTATCAATTTTTTTACCCACCTTTTTGTGAATTGCATGCAAATGAACAATGATAATTTTTTTTCCCACTTAAAATATTACGATTAATCCATTTTCTAGGCCTCATACGTAATAATTACAATATTTTAGTAGTAAAAATTGAAATGGAAACAAAAAATGTATCGACATACCGATTTCTCAAGACCAAACTATAACTGCAGCCTGCAGGAAGTACTCTATTGTACTTTGAAAATCAAGAAACTAAATGTATATTTCGTTTAAAGAAATTCGATGTTACTCCTTCTTTACAAGGACATTAAATAACATTGATGGGGCCAATGGACTATACGTCAACCCGACAACGGAAAAAAAAAATTTGACATGATATTCGTCAGATGAACACGAGCAAAATCTGTGTACGGGCTTTACAAATCTTGCACTGCTGAATAAGCATAAAGCTGATTCTAAAATATCAGTTGTGGGCCGAAGAGAATCAAGGAAAAGTTGAAAACCAGTTTATATTTGGAGAAGAAGTTTGACAGATTCCGTTAATGCGTAACTAATTGCTGAACTGGCACTTTGCTATCATATAAATACGATCCTATATATACAGCTATATAAATACAGGATCTCGTTAGCTATGAGTCAGTTAGTTAGATCACACAACGCACATACAAAACGTGAGAGATGAGTGATCCGTAGAGAGAGAAGTAGAGAAGAAGAAAATCAGCTGAAATTGAGTTAGGGTTTGTAAGGCAGATTTGTAATCTCTCTTGTATTTGATCTTGTATCTCTGTAATAGTTGGTGTTCGTTCATAGTGGATTCTCTCTCTCTCTCTCTCTCTCTCTCTCTCTCTCTCTCTCTCTCTCTCTCTCTCTCTCTCTCTCGGTAAATGTAGATTATTCTAATCAAACCATGTTAAAGCACTCTTGTTCAATTGCTTGATTTAATACTTCCTGTTATTGCATGCAAATTAGGGTTCTTAATTAGTTCATCCTTGAATCTGCGAATTAGTTAATCGAATTGTAGCTGATTTCTTTACAGTTTCTCTTCATCAGTACTCAAAATTGGCTTCATCTTTATTGTATTTTATTATAATTTATTAATTGCTAAGCGTTGTTAACCGTAATAACTCTTCCAAACCATGGTTGAAAATTTATTCGCCTTATTATTCCTTCATCAGTTAAAACTCGAAACCAACAAAAATAAAATTATCTTCATTTTCTAGAAAATTTAATTGCTAATGCTGATAACTATGTCAATTTATACATCTACTTAATCAAGATCTTAAGTTGAAAATAATATCAAATCAATAGTCGTTTTCTTGTTTTTTTTCCTATCGAACAACATTTATTAGTAGATATTTCGGAAACAGATTGAACGAAGCACATACTCATAGACCACGCATACGTATTGTGTCCGGATATTCCACGTCTTGTGCATATATATATAAACAATATAATATACATTTAAGGACAAGTGTTGAAATGGTGACTTCAGGTTATCTGTAGAATAATCAGTGGAGTCCATGTTTTAATTTGTACAAACCATCGGAAGAAACACAAAAGAAAGAAATGAAATTGCAGTATTTAATTAATCCCACATCGGTAGAAGAGTGATGTAAATAAGGGTGATTTACCTATTTAATGGGCCGAATGTACAATGAATTATTCACTTACCTGGACGGGGTCTATGGCTGAACAAGAAGAGCCATAGCCTAGGCACGTGACCTCCATTGCACAAATAGGAGGGGCGCGTGACTAAGGTCGATCCAAGTGGTTGTTCCTCCGTCATTATTTGTTCCTGTGGGGGCCTGCGTTCGCGCGGCCCCTGCCCCATTTATAGTCATAAAAATTTGGTCGATCTTAAATTAATCTCTCTGTTTGTTTAAATCTTATAAATTAAAAATATCCTGATTCATTTGATAACTTACTTGTAACATTGTATCTTCAAACTTGGCCAACTCTTAATGTTGATGAACTGCTCGAGGGATAGTCATTTATTCTGATTTTACTCAATAGAATTACGAAAGCTTCCTAAAGTTAGAGAAGGTATAACGTATATATGTGGGAAAGATTTAATCTCGTTTCACCGTGCAAGCAAACAATGATATACAATCAATTTCTATCACTACTTAACTTGGTGATTTTGAAGGATACTTGGGGTTTTGTACACACAAATTAGTGCAAAAGATCTACTACTATTCTTCTTTCATAATTTGATTTTTGCACAAGAGAATTGGAATGCCTAAGAGCATCTCCTGTCGACGGGGGCGGCTCCCCCGGGGCTCCCCCGACCCCAACCCATTTCTCGTTCAGTCGATCAATCTCTTCCTTCCAATTTTTTCCATCACCACTCTCACCATATAATAATAATAATAATAATAATAATAATAATAATAATAATAATAATAATAATAATAATAATAATAATAATAATAATAATAATACGTGATGTTAATATAATTAATAGAATAGTTACAATAAAATTACTATTTTAAATTAAAAAGATCGAATTAAAGAAAAAAAAACGAGAAAACTAAAGTAAAATAAAAGAAATTAATAATAAAATGAAAATAAAAAAAGAAAAAAAAAGAAAGAAAAAGAAAAAAAAAGAAAGAACTAAAATAAATTAAAATAAATAAAGAAAAGATACAAAGGAAAAAAATAAAAAATAAAATGCTAACGTTGAAAGATAAGGAAAAAAAAAAGAAAAAAGAAGTTGGAGCGTGAAATTCACATGGGAGAGAGAGTGAGAGCCCAGGGCTTTATGTCTGGGCTCAATTCACCCCCCACCCCCTCACCCCAGCCCCACCCCCTACTCACTAGACACCTCTGCCCTCCCCTACCCCCACCCCACCCCACCCCTTCCCCATTCCATTGGAGATGCCCTAAGAGGAGATGTTTCATTGTAAATAGGCCCGGCAATTGAGACGGGCCTAACCGAAATCCGATGGCTCGGCCCGATTATATTTGAACCGAACCTACTTTTTAGTGAGCCTGGCCGAGTTTGAGCCATTTTATTAAACCCGACTTATTTTTTAGCCGAGTTTGAGCCTACTATGGCTCAACCCGAATAAAGCCCGATCGATTAGGTTAATAATTAAATATATAATATATTTATTATTTTAATGCTATGAAAAATTACAATCGTATAAGATTATTTTATTTTGCAAAATGAAAGGAATTAAGTGGTAGCGGTGGTGGTGGCAATAAGTAAAATAGGAATCAAACGCAAAAAACACACCGAAATCCAATTGCTGAAATTTACCATCGAGATTTGAGAATATAAAATGGTTCCAGTAACAAGAGTTAATAATCTTTTTACTCCTTTTGGTCTTGTTTTTAAGTTTTTCTAATAACTTGCAGATATTGTTTAAGTTTTAAGGATTGGCTTTAATGAATGTAATCTTATATATCACATATTTTTATAATATTTTTTACTCATTACATTTATATAGTAATGGGGCCGATATAAACCCGAAACCCAAAAAAATACATGAGCCGAGTTTGAGCCTGTACTAATGAGGGTTGATGGTATGTGAGCTTGAGCCGACGCAGACTCGACTCATATGGCCCGATTGGTAACCCTAATTATAAATAGCAAAGTAAAATATAAGTAAGGGTTACATGACCCGATTGGTAACCCTAATTGGGATACTATGAAGTTGTTCTTCATAGTATCCCACATCGAAAAAACAAAGTTGGGTTCAGTGGAAAGATGAACTATAAAAACGGAACTGTAAGACTGGAAAAAGCATACCTTTCTCGGCCTTTTGGCTAAGATCAAGTGTAGTATCTGTTCTTATCAGTTTAATATCTGATATGTGGGCCATCGGCCCACACGATATTAAATTAATTTTTTAAGGGGGAGGGCCCACAAGATAGCTTGCTATCTGGGCCTTCGAGTGTCGCCCTAGCGTTGCACTACTGCTTGGGCCTGGCGCACCCCACCAAACCATAGTTTAATCTTTTTTTTTAATGTATTCAGTATTTTAAAAATACAAATATAATACAATGAGTTGTGATATTTAAATGGCTATGTAACTTTGTAAAATATTTAAATGAATTGTGATATTTTCATACTATTGAAATATATTTAAATGAATTGTGTTATTTTCATACTATTGATTAAATAATTGGGTGAAAATAACTACTGTCATTAAATAAATTGTTTCCTTAAAATTATGGCCACACAAACAAAGACTGGAAGGTGACTTTTTGCCTACAACTCAGACTTTAATAAGTTGAATATTTAAAATTTTATGATAAATTAAGATTTTACCTAAGATCATTCAAACTTATCATACATACAGGCAAGGTATTTATTTCCTAGCATGCCACACTTCATGTTTACATGGATAAGTTATAATTCTCCATTGAAAACTTAAATATAAGCTTGAGAGTTACTACAAATAAGAGATGACATACAGTACAGGAAAAAGAAAAAAAAGTTGGTTTCAGAAACACAAGGACAAAAGTTTTGTGGGGTGTCATTAACAAAGACAGGGAACATGCATGGACAATAAAACAAAAGATGAAACAAACATTGCAGAAACCAGACAACTGTATTTCTTCATATACATATATATATATATATATTTTTTTTTAAATTCAAGGATACTTTTTTCTTCAAATTTTCAAATTCACACCATTTCAAATATTTCTTGATTTTATTGATTTACCTTCATTTTCTTGACATGAAAATCATGCCTCAAGCAAGAAATGAAGAGAAAAGTTGCAGAAAGCCCAAAAACAAACACAAATTAGCCTCATTTTCAGAGTCCAATGGCAGCAAACATGCAACTGAATCAAGAAAGAAAATCAGTGAGAAAAATTCCAAGAAAATGAGGTTTGCATTTGTAAAATTTAAAGGGCTGGGATGTAAAGGGACCTCATCTACACCGGCAATCATACGGTCAGCAGCTGAGTGGGAAACTAAGAGAGCGAAAAACCAAAACCAGACGACGAAAAAACCATCGAAAAACCGAAGAAATCCAGCAAACATTGTTGTTGATTTTGTTCCTGATGTGTGCTGTGCTCCTCCAGGCATTGGCCTTTCTTCTGATTTTGCTCCTTTAAATAAAAATCCTGCCTCAAAGTTAGATCACAGAAAGGTATATATATACAGTAATATATAGATTTATTTTTTAAATTAATTATCAATACTGACTTGTGATTCTTGCTACATTAGCATCCTCGTGAACCTAGGAGAAACGGAGACGATTCGAGTCTCGAGTTTCCAGCAATTTCACGACGTGTAATTAGCTCCAGAACTAATAATCATCGTTCTGCAGGAGAAATCATAGAAGTATGGCCTAAAATCAGTGTTTCTTGTGATTATCAATAAAACATATACTTATAAATAATACAGTTTTCGGGTCCTCGATAGTTTTATTCGATAAGGCTACAGTTTAATTAAACAAAGACATGAAATTGTTTTTTTCCTAGATGATGATGTCACAACAAACTCTACTTCCCGGAAGAATCGTCCAAGGAAACGATCGGTACTGGGCCTGGAGACGCAACATTGATGATATGTCGTACGAGGTTAGTTCTTGCTAATCAACGTACGTTTTGATAATACAGAACATTTGGCCATAATTTATATTTAATTTTTTTTAATGCAATAGGAGCTTCTTGATTTGGGTGATAAGATCGGGTATGTGGGCACTGGTTTGCAAGAAGAGGAGCTATCCAGATGTATAAGGAAATTCAAGATGTGTAACCAAAAGCTTATAACTTCCCACAAAGATTGGAAATGTAGCATTTGCCAAGTGAGTTTTGTTATCTTGCTTTCTTATATTTTTCGATTTTTACCCACAACGATAACTTTTCTGGTTTTTCCCGCTTAAAATATTACATTTTTATCGATTTTCTGTATCATGTACGTAATAATCACAATCTTATTACTTTGAAATGGGAAAGAACGATACAGAAAAACAAGATTGTCTTGGTGTTTGTAATAATATTTTGGCAGCACAAAGCAGATAAAAATATTGGTAGTAATTATAATGTTTTGTGGTTGTTATTACAGGAGAAAGGTAGAAGAAATGATGATATAGGAACACTGGATTGTGGTCACCATCATCACTTACAATGCATAAAGAAGTGGCTCACACATAAAAATGAATGCCCTGTCTGCAAATCTGCTGTCATGCTCGACAGGTCGAGATAAGGTTCCCGTATAATGTTTCTCAGTTTCCCGACATTTTACTGCTTCTATTTGCACAATTTAAGCACCACTGTTTTAGTCCTAAATCAAGAACATTTCATTAACTGTAACAGAAAATTCCGATTCTTATCAGATAGTTCCATCCACAAATATCTCTAGTACCCGCGGGGAAGTTTTCGGCGTTTTAATACAAAGTTAACGAGTGACGACATAAATACACAAGAAACTACATATATATATTTCGTTTACAGAAATTCAATGTTACTTCTTCTTTACAATGACATTAAATACCAATAACGGGGCCAAAGGAACTGTACTATACGTAAAACCACAACGGATTAAAAAACTGACATGATTTGCCAGATTAACACGAGCAAGATCCGTGTACGAGCTTTTGTAGGTGGTGATCCTTTGAGAAGAAATGAAATTCCCAGACAGCCTAAATTGAAATGGCAGTAAATTTAAACGTTCGAGTTTTTTTTTTCTCTGGTGAAAATAAAGCAGGATGTTCGAATAACTCACCGACACAGCTGTTCTTGGCCATTGCATCATCAGAGGATTAATAGAAATGTATATTTTGTTGATTAACAGTACCAATAATACATATGATTATTGATCCAAGTCATGCTCATTTAGAAATTGGACTATACAGGGGTATATTTGTTCCACAGCCTGCATATATTCGGTATGTTCCGAAATTTAATAACTTCTTAAAATATTCCTAACCATCAAGAAAGAAATGTGTAACAATATATAATTATATATACATACCAGCCGCCCCCCGACCAAGTCGTAATGAGCATAATGTGGACCATCAGGTTCTCCAAATACTTCATACGTGACCAAATGCTCAGGAAAGAGCTTCACAGTTTCTGCTTAGCATAATCGAAAAAAGAGAACATAAAAAAAGACGAGCTGCAAAGATACTTTTAGACTTACGAAAGTACGTTAAGTTGGAAGTAGGGCAAGAAGATTAAACGAACCAAGTACTGCTTCTGGAGGACAAATCAAGTCTCGATCTCCAGCAAGAGCTAAGACAGGAACATTGCTTTCACGAAGATGATCCTTGTACAGAAACGTACCGCTCCTATCTCGAAGTCCTCCCTCTCGAAAAGCTGTTGTTAGCTGTAATAAAAGTTTAGCAGGAATAGTACCTGCCAGAAGTGATGAAACTTTATTTTTAAAATCAGGTTTTGATTATTATTAATCACTTGGTATTACCATTCTTGAATTCGAAGGAAAGAAATGTATTTAGATCTTCCCCATGTACATTGGAAAGTACCATCACTAGCTATTGAATATCTTGCAGGCATTATCCTAGAGCTTAACATATTGCTAAATAATATTAAAAAAAAACATAACCGTATTGATAAATAATGCAGGGGAAGTTCTGACTTACAAAAATTGTTTAGAACAAGCTTCTTCAGAAGCTCTGGATGCATCATATCCTGTGCGGAGATAAGGTCATTCATCCATGATAAGACGTAAGGTGGACGGGAAGAAAGAGGATAAGCTGCAGATAGTAATGCTCCTAAAGGAATAACGGGCACATTTAGAGCCTGTGCAGGATCAGCCTGCGGTACAAAATAAAAAAAATATCGATTACAAATTTACACAGAAGATGAGGTAAGATAGCATACGATTAACAATACTTATACTTACAAGGGGAGTAAGTAGTTTTAGTGCTGATTTTGATGTTGTGTAGTCGAGTGATGAGGCCAATGTAACAACAGCAGCTAATCCAGGATCTCTTCCTTCTGAACCTTTTTATATCAACACATTACAGATATTTGGTAAAGTTTACGTGTCAACTAAAATATGATTATGTGAAAACAATTATCAAAATATCATGATTACATGCATAGATATAAACCTTTCAATCGTTAGATACTCAATCACAAGTCTACCAAATTCACAGATTGGCATAGTAGCATATTGACCTAGATAAAACTATAAAACAAGACAGCAGAAACTAATGACCAACTATAACGAATAAAGGAATTACCACTCAAGTAATTTTTTAACCAATGAAACTCAGTAACCTATAAGATAGACAGAGCTGAAGGATAAGAACAATCTAAAATGATAATGTGTCTCCATAGTGCTGAATTAAGTATAAAACTGATTCTAAAATATCAGTTGTCTGCAGAAAAAAAAAAGTAATAATCAACATCATTAACAAAATGTAATATAAGGAATCTAACTTACTGTATCGCGACAGCATGGCATATAGCAAAATACCCCCCATGGAGTGACCAATTGCAAGTAACCGACCATCCTTTGGTTTGCTTTGGGCTCTAATATATTCCATCTATGAAATTGTGACCGGAAAAAAATGAAGACCGCCAACGTTAATAAAAGAGATATAGTAGCTGAATGTCAGAGGGTGTAAGAATTCTACTTTCGACTAAGAAAAAAAAAACGTTAACAGCATTCATTGGCCATCCACAAATAAATGTCACCTCACCACAGCAGGAATGTCCTCTTCCAAATAATGATCGAAGTCCCAATCGTATTTCACAATCAAGTCCAATTGCTTCTGGAAATCATCTACTGTTGTAAATAGGCGCTCTTGCAGATCAAAAAGCTGAGGCGATACAGAACGCTGACCTTCGTCAATGATATCTACTAGTTTTTGACTTAGATCTTTAATCTGGCCTGTAACACCAGAGTTTCCCCTTGTATCCAGCAAACTTAAAATCTTTCCCTTTACTTCACTAAAGCGTTCAAACCTAAAGGAATCCTCCAAGAGTTTTGATAATTGATCAAAAAATTGGGCAGACATAATCTTTGACTGACTTTCACTAAGAAAGCCAGAAAGTCTTTCTGACAAGCGCGTAAAAGTTTCTGTCAATTCAGTCACCATTCTGGATTCATCCCATGGTGTTTCAACCACATTTGGTTGTTCATTGACCACAACTATCTCAGGTTTTTCCGAGGTACTTTGGGCAATGTTTGGCTGCTGGTCTGTAGGGTCCGGTTTTTCCGAGGTACTTTGGGTAATGTTTGGCTGCTGGTCTGTAGGGTCCGGTTTTTCCGAGGTACTTTGGGTAATATTTGGCTGCTGGTCTGTAGGGTCGGGTTTTTCCGAGACACTTTGGGAAGTGTTTGGCTGCTGGTCCGTAGGGACAGCCCCGTTGGTCACCTTCTCTGCAGCAGATTCCATTTGATCGGATATCGAATGAGCTGATTTTTCAACGTCCTTAAGATCAGAACCTTGTGTGCTCAACCCAGCCCCTCGAACTTCTAGAACCCAGGTGTCAAATCCTTGACCACACATATAGCGGGCAAATGAAGACTGCAGGTGTTTATTACAAGAAAAAGCCTTAATCAGTCTTCTATTTTTTTAATTTCTTCCCAATTTTGAGGATAAGAGATGATATCAGAAATGCCGTAAGACAACTTAAAATTGAATTCCAAGCATTAATCAGCTTGCCAGAAAAAAGAGATGATACTGCATTTCAGGCTTAGTCATATATACCAGTTTTTCAGCACCGTTTCACTTTTAAAACAAGTACAGATGCACGAGTAAACATGTATCCGAGCATTCCATAAGCTACTAAATTAATTCATACAGAACCATGGAATAACACCATATCTCTTTATTTAACAAAACCCCAAATATGTCATTGGGGAGTGGCTCGGTAAATAAATCTCGATGAATCCATTTTGTAAAATCTACATTGAAGGCCTACGCATAACTCTATATATATTTTTTTACACAGGGAACCCAAACTCTAAACGAAAATGCATGTGCATGAACAGAAGAGGAGTAAACTAACCCCAGGAGACAGATCATATCCAATGGCATTTGTCCCCACACCCGACAACAGCAACAACGGATGATTTCTCGGTGGAGCCTGCTTCCAAACAAAATTTACATCAGATTAACTTTCCTTTCTGAGATTAACACTCATTTTCGTTCACGTTATAAACATGAAATCGTAACCACTGCACTGAACTAACGGATCACAAACATCACAAATATAAATCTTCAATTAATGTAAAAGTAAATCGACCTTATTAAGCATAGTATTTAATGTCTCTACTGCGTGCAAAAAATTCCAATCTAAATCGTGAATCACACGATACGACACCGTAACCGACAGATATACAGTAAAATAGCAAGCGTTTGTGCTTTAACAAACTATACGTGGCTGAAGGATGAGAAGTAGTACCTGCGGCGACGGGTTATAGCGCCAGAGAGCGAGCCGCCAGTCCGAGTTCTTCACGGTGACGTAGTGGAGCTCGTCGGCGGTGCATATCGGCGGTTTATTCGGAAGCTTCTCGGCACCGGCGGACTGAGCCTCGTCGGTCGAGAAAGCTCTCACTCTGACCGCTTCGAGCGTCAGACGCCGGGCGGCGGCGGCGGCGCGTGGGAGGAGGTAGCGGTTCTGGAGGAGGTTGTTGAGTCGGAGGTGGTGGTGGTGATGGCGGCGGCGGAAAGCGGAGGCGGCGAGGTTAACCGCTGGATTGATGCTGGATTGGGAGATCACCATTGTAGATTATGAATTAATTATTTTACTAGTTCTGTTGAATTTTTTTGGATTTGATTTGAAAATTGAAATTTGTTTTTTTTTCTTTTTATTTTTATTTTAATTTTGTTTGACCTTTTGGATATTGAATTTATGATGTTCACCGTACTTTGGGAGGAGTGGAGAAGGATTGGGATAAATGTGACACGTCATAGGGGGCAATCTATATATAGAAGTTGGGACCTTCAATCTTATAATAATTGAGATTAAACTCTAAGCTAATATGTGAAGGTTCACTTGTTTTGCATATTTTGACATGTGCATTCAACATTCTTTTGTTTTGGATATTATTTATTATTTATTTCATTATTTCCATGTGCATAAATTGGTACATTAGTCTCCAAATTTTCTTGTGCAAATAGTTTCAAAAATAACATAATAGAAGTACTATTTGTGTAGTTTAATTAAATTGGAACATAGTGATATGGTTCAATCCTACGCTACTCTCGCAATTCCTCTATCGCATTCTCACTATTTGCAATTTTGCACCATGCAAAATTAATACGGAGCGGGGTTTGGTCTCGATGAAAACCCTCTAGTGGTCGAATCAGCTATGTATAATAGAAGCGTCCAGAGAATTCAAAAGACCGCTCGAGAGTTATGAATTGCATACTTTTAACTGTGAGTATTTCGATTATTTATATGGAGAAACGTATTCCCGTACTTAAGTATTTTAACTAATTGGATCAACTTGGGTTTGAGTGTTTATATTATAGTCCATTTAGCCTTAGCCAACTTAACGTAAACTTATTATTATTAGCCTGAACCTACTTAAGTTTCATTTGTGTGTCTCTATGAACTTGTCGATATAGTACTTCAGACGTGGGCCATCACATAGTATATGAAATGAATTGATTTTTCTTGACTATTGGATGATGCTAAACTAAATGCTTAATGAGTAGATGAGATTTGATTGCGTGAGATTAATGAATTGAATAAATTATCATACCGAATACCGATATATTTATTGGGCCACCAACTAATAAGAACCGAAATACAATTCATCCATAAGTAGCTATGTTAAATGACTAAGTTATTTTGAGTTAACTTTCTAATACAGCTTAGTTTGTATTTTAGTATGTCGTTTGATTTAGCGTTCTAATACGATTTAAATTAACCAAATTTCATGTCAAATGACAATATCATGCATGAATAAGTTACATTTTAAATTTTAAATAATTCCAATGATGCATTGTTCACCGATTCTTTCTCATCTTTCTCATCCAATATCCAACTTTGGTGATTAAAATTTGATTAGAAAGCTAGCTCACAAAACTACAAACTCCGTGCTTTGAATTTTATCAAACTCAACCTCGAAAGTATTAGCAATCACATTTAAAGCCGAAACGATATTATTAAAACTGAAACGACATTTATCTCATTCAGTAAGTGGACCCGTTATAAGAGCTAAATATTTGGTCTAATTGGACTCTAATTATTTTGGCTTATTGGGCTCTAAATGCTATAAACTTACCGAAGCCCATATATAATTCACAGCACCTCCGACATTTTCTCTTCCCTACTAAAACCTCTCTCCCTCGCCTGAAAAACCCACCGAAAAACACACTTTTCACACACACACACACACATATATGTAAAATTGATGGGTTTTAACGGCGGAGAGATGACGGCGGAAGTTGAAAGAGTGTTCGTAGGAGCAGGTTGCAACAGAATAGTTAACAACGTCTCCTGGGGCGCCTGCGATTTGCTCTCTTTTGGTACCCAAAACGCCGTCGCCATTTTTTGTCCCAAGGTTTTTTTTTTTTTAATTAATTGATTTAACCACTTTTTTTACTCTCCAATTTTATTTAATTCATGCTAGTTTTAATCAACTATGTAAATGCCTTTTTTTTTTCTTCCTTGAATAGACTGCGCAAATTGTGACTACACTTCCTGGACACAATGCATATGTGAACTGCACTCAGTGGCTACCCAACAGCAAGTTTGCATTCAAAGGTTCAATCTTTACCTGAAATTTTTTCTTATTAATATTACCAAGTAAATTGGAACCTAATTATTTTTGTTTTGTAATAAAACTCTTTTTTTTTTTTTTTCTCTTTTGCCCCTTCCAGCTAAAAATTTTGAAAGGCATTATCTGCTATCTGGAGATGCTGATGGAACAATTCTTTTGTGGGAGTTTTCACTTGTTGATAATAAGGTGTTTTTCTTGAGCTTCTTCTTATTCTCTCTCCTTTTAATTCTTCGGCGCTTGATATTGTTCGTAATACTTTCGGAAGTTTGTCTCGAACTTGCTTCTCTTATGTCATGTTTGTCTATGACTATTCTGTACTCTCGAACTTGAATAATGAACTTAGTTTCGTGTTATGGTTGGTTTTCCTTGTAGATTTTCAGGTTATGGTAGTGATCAATGATTAATCGTAGAAAAAATAATTTTGTTGGAAGTAAAGTTAAACCTCTATAAAATAATACAGTCTGTGATATTAAATTCTATTGATTTAGAGAAATATTAAATTATCGAACTAATAATTTAGTAGGTTTTTACCGAGTCGGGATCAAAAGAAACTATTACCGAATTGAGGTTATTAATTTATCGAGGTTCTACTGTATCTATTGCTTGCTTAACTACCAGGCTTCTGTGGTTCGTTGTTGCCTAAGTCGTCTGAGTAATGGAAAATGTTTATATTAGATGGGTGTTCGAGATTATTCTTCGTGTGGCAACAAATGTAACAACATTTGTTTACTAATATCAGCTTGGGGGAAACTTCTTTCGAGGCCAAAGATATGAGAGAATATATCATTGAGTAGTTGTAGTAGGTGAAAACTTCGTTTTTCTCATGATGATGCTATTATGAGAAATGAATAATCCGATTAATTAATTAACCAATTAATTTTCCGTGGTTTTGTATCTGTGGTGCATGTACATACAGTCATCATAATTCTGTATAGATGAAGTGTAACACTGACACACAATTTTGTTTGCAGTGGAGAAATGTGCTGCAATTACCAGAAAAACATAAAAAAGGTGTTACATGCATTTCTGCAATTATGGTATCCGATTCCGATGCTATGTTTGCATCTTCTTCTTCTGATGGTGTAGTGAGCGTGTGGGAAATAGTCCTTCCGTCTATATCTGGAGGTCAGTCGCTCGGGTTTCAGCAATTGTATCGTCATTTCTATTTTAATTTGCAGTTATCTGGCATTGAAATTAGATATCAACTGCAAATTGACAACGATAGCATTTTCGTGCTAACCTTTGTAATTGTCAAATATCCATTTTCCCACTTTCTTATTTGTCTATGCTTATAGATCTTTTTTCATGTCTAATGATTTTATACGCGAAAAATACAATGAAATGTGCTCGTTCAATGTTGTCCTAAGTTTGGGGTTTATGAGAAACGTTCGAGAAATAGTCAATTGTTCTTTTTTTTTTTTTCTCGTTGAATGCCGATATTATGTTTAGTCCCCATCATAGAAAAATTGTTTCTTCACCATCTTATTAAGAAAGCTATTATCTCAATTCTTGATTTCTGAGGATACATAGCATTCTTGTTGTCTACTTTAATCATTTTTCACGCATTGAATCTGACTAAAATATTGTGCAAATTAGTCGTGCATCGAAACTAGCCTCTCCGATATCTCATTTCTCATTGATATTGATTTGAATTTCTTAGGTGAATGCAAATTGTCTTGCTTGGACACTATATTTGTCGGTAGAAAACCAATGGTCGCTCTTTCACTCGTAGAGTTACCTGGGCAAAACGGGCATCTAGCTCTAGCCATGGGCGGTTTGGATAACAAAATCCACATCTACAGCGGCGAGAGAATCGGAAAAGTGCGTATCGACTGAATTATCTTTTTTTTTTCACGTTCTTTCTCACTAAATTTAACATTTTCTTAATTATTTATATATTACCAGTTTGTTCATGCATGTGAACTAAAAGGCCACACAGACTGGATTCGCAGCCTCGATTTCTCACTACCTCTACACGAAAACAATGAAACTTATACTCTCCTCGTGAGTTCGTCTCAAGACAAAGGGATACGCATATGGAAAATGGCTTCATTACAAGCCAATAGCACTACAGAAGAAAACACCTTATCTTCTTACATTAAAGGCCCGATCTTTTTATCCGGTTCGTTTTCTTACCAGATTTCCCTAGAATCCCTCCTCATCGGACACGAAGATTGGGTGTACTCGGTCGAATGGCAGCCTCCTCAAAGCTCTTCTGATCAAGGCATCGAATGTTATCAGCCTCAGAGCATTTTATCTGCTTCGATGGATAAGACGATGATGATTTGGCAACCGGAGAAGACTAGTGGTATATGGATGAATATGGTTACGGTTGGGGAATTGAGTCACTGTGCTTTGGGGTTTTATAGTGGTAGTTGGAGCCCTAGTGGGAGCTCGATTTTGGCTCATGGTTATGGTGGATCTTTTCATCATTGGAGAAATGTTGGCACGGATTTTGATGATTGGAAACCGCAGAAAGTTCCTTCCGGTCACTTTGCTTCGGTTTCGGATATTTCGTGGGCGAGAGATGGGGAATATTTGCTGTCTGTTAGTCACGATCAGGTGAGATGTTTATTCAAAAATCCCATCAATTATCAATAGTTACCCGAGAATTCGAATGTTAGTATATGATCATTTCGTGCGCTGATTATCTGCCATGCCTAAAACATAGGGTAAATTACAACTACCCCCCTGAGGTATGGTTAAATTACGAAAAAACCCCTCTTGTCTGGGTAATTACAACCACCCTCAACTATAAATCTTTTTCCACGTCCACCCTTACGGATTCAAATTTAGTGGAATCTTCTATATTATATGGAATATTCTCAATTTTGTACCCGTTTTATGCCATTTGAGCTCCACATTTTGAAGCAAGATGATCATAAGATGTGTTTTTTGGCTTGTATTTATCAGATTTTAGTGCATTAGAAACTGTATTTTTGCACAAAACGAGTACAAACTAGAGAACATTCCACGAAATCTAGATGATTATGTTGAATTTGACACCATAAGGGTGGAGGTGTAAGATGATTCATAGTTGAGGGGGATAGATGTAATTATCCAAACAGGAGGGTTTTTTTTTGAAACTTGACCTTTACCTCAGGTGGTGGTTGTAATTTACCCGTAAAACATATTGTTATGCTAGTATGCTTGAAACTTATATATACAATATTTTTGTGATTTCTGCAATATTTTAAATAAAATATATCCTTTTGTCTTTTCACGGTTATAATGTATTATTAAATAACAGTAAACTTGTTCCTTTACAGACGTCTAGAGTGTTTACCGCATGGTGTGGCGAAGGAGGAGAGGCATGGCATGAAATTGCACGACCGCAAGTTCACGGCCACGATATTAATTGTGTGACAGTAATCCGAGGAAACGGGAACCACCGGTTCGTAAGTGGCGCAGACGAGAAAGTTGCCAGAGTGTTCGAAGCAACTCTCTCCTTTCTAAACACACTGAGTCACGCAAATCCACATAAATCCGGACAGGCTTACGATCTTCCATCAAACGTGCAAATTCTCGGTGCAAATATGTCTGCTCTAGGGCTATCACAGAAGCCTATATATGTCCAAGGCGAGCTTATTTACCTTCTTCACCAGATTTAAATACGTGTATTATAGCTATTATTTATAAAATATTTATCTTCTTGTGCTGCAGCACCGGCGGAGCCGAAAGAAAGAAACAACAACGAAGGCGTCGACACCCTTGAGACGATTCCGGAAGCAGTTCCAGTTGCGTTGACCGAAGCACCCATCGAAGAGCAACTGGCATGGCATACACTATGGCCCGAATCTCATAAGCTTTACGGTCATGGAAACGAACTCTTTTCTCTATGTAGTGATTACGAGGGAAAACTAGTTGCTTCATCCTGCAAGGTAGCTAGTCCCTTCTTCTTTTTTTCTTCTTTACGAGTATCCAATATGGAATCTTTATGTTGTTTCTGCGAATCTTGTAAAAAACGACACATTTGGAATCCGGCAGGCACAGTCAGCATCCGTTGCAGATATATGGCTATGGGAAATCGGCTCTTGGAAAGCCGTTGGCCGATTGCACTCCCACACTCTAACAGTGACGCAGTTGGAGTTCTCTCACGACAACGCTTATCTCTTGTCCGTCTCGAGGGATCGTAATTTTTCCATTTTCGAAATTAAACATACAGGTATGCCAAAAGAAAATGCTATAATATCTTCCATTATTGCCTGCCACATGTCTCGTATACGCTTCATTAGCCTTGATATATTACTAGGGTTTATTATTGCATTTAGGACCCTCCTTGTGTTTACTTTAATTATCAAAAGACTCCATGTGTTGTAAATATTAGCAGAATCCCCTCAATGATTCATTTTTATTAGCAATTGATCCCTAAGAAACTCACTGTTAGGCGTTTGTGTTCCAAAAAAAAATACATCATAGGGGTTTTTTGGCTAATATTTATAGCACGAGGGGTTTTTTAGCAATTTGATATGACACAGCGGGTACTAAATGCAAATGCAATAAACTCTGTATTACTAATCAATGTTAATCCTTCATTTGATATTATGGTTGAGCCCCACGATGTATTGTTGGCCCGTGACATAATCAAACAATTTGTATGATGAATAGATAGTCGATAAAGCCACTATAATATGCTTCCTTACATTACAAATGAAATGACAAAAACGACCTTCTATTTGTTAACGCTAATTCTTACCTTCTGTACATAACAGAAACAGAAGAAATCGATCACGGGCTTGTTATAAGGCAAGAAGCCCACAAAAGAATAATATGGGCCTGCTCTTGGAACCCGTTCGCCCATCAATTTGCAACCGGATCGAGAGATAAAACCGTGAAAATATGGGAACTGGAAAATGGATCATCCGTTAAGCTGCTCACAACTCTACCGACTTTCAAGAGCAGCGTTACTGCGTTATCTTGGCTGGGCATCGACAGACAGAAAAATCACGGGCTTCTTGCTATTGGAATGGAAAGCGGTCTCATAGAGGTGTGGAGTATTATTTCCAATGGCGAAAGTGAAAATAGTGGTGTAAATGCGTCTCTTTTCGTTCGATTCGATCCGTACATGTGTCACGTGTCTTCGGTTCATCGGCTGAGGTGGCGAAGTGCGGAGAAGAGCGGAGATTCTTCCAAGGTGCAGCTTGCTTCTTGTGGAGATGATCATTGTGTGAGAATATTTCAAGTAGTTGTTTGATTTATTTAATTTTTTGTGACAGATTGATTGATTTTCTTATTTTTTTAAATTATTTAGAAAGTGAGGGGTATAATTATGTCTTCAAATTTATATTGCCACCTTTTGTATACTAAAATATAAAAAGTACAGAAGTTGTGGCGTCATCATCTATGCAGGATTATTGTGTTCATCTTTTTGTAATTTTTAAATTTAATGTATTAAACAAATTAATGATATTTTTTTTTTTTGTGTTTAATCATTATGAAAGTTTGAACAGTTAATGCAAAAATAACAATGACTCGTACTACACAAGTCACAACAATTAATCAGTTTCTTTTTTCATGCGTGTACTTTTAATTTAGAGTAAATTACGGCCACCTCCTTGGGGTAAGGTTAAATTACAAAAAAAATTCTCATGTTTGGGTAATTATAACTGTCCCCTCAACTATCAATCTTTTTAAACGTCCATTCTTACGATGTCAAATTTAGTGAAATATTCTAGATTATGTGGAATATTCTCCGGTTTGTAGCCGCCATTCGCTCTCCACAATTTGAAACAAGATGATATGTGTCTCTTGGCTTGTAAACATCAGAATGCGGTGCATCAGAAACTGCACGATTGCACAACACGAGTACAAACTATAGAATATTCAACGGAAACTAGAAGATTATGTTGAGTTTGACACTGCAAGGATGAACGTGTAAGAAGATACATAGTCGATGGGTGGTGTTTGTAAATACCGAAACATGAGGGAATTTTTCGTAATTTAAGCTTAACTCAGGTGTGCGGCCGTAATTTAGCCTTCAATTTAATGCAAAAAATGTAATAGACAATCTTAGCTGTCAAAAATAAAAACAAAAATTGTAGCAGCAGGGAATTTAATTAGAATTTTATAATTAGATAGATGCATACATACAGACAGACAGAGGAGAGGACGTGGCGATGACATGGGATAGAGTCAGCATTTTTAAGGTACTTTAAATGCTTGCAAACATAACATAGTATTATTAGTCAGACAAGGTTGGCGTGTAGCTTGCATTATATTCCTCGTACACTCTTAATCCCATATACTAATCCTTAGTTAATGACGATTAATTCTTTAATTAATGAGTAACCTACAAAGCACAAGATATTGCAATAATCAGTGCAGATTCACATCAACGCCAGTAACCAATCACCATAAAGCAACGGAGTTAAAAAAAAAAAAAAATCAGCTTATCACCTCACTCTAATTCATTTTTTTGTTCATTTCAATATTCCTCAATAATTTTTTTACTCAATCTTTTTTGTCAATATTCCTCATAATTCCCCACCAGACCAGGGATTTAAAAAAAATCAAAAAATAAAATAAGGATGCTTCAAATTTTCAAATAGAACTATGAGTATAAATAAAAGCGATATTTTTTTCACGAATTTACGTACATATCATGCACAAAACAAGGAAAAACAACCGTTCTCGTATAGTTTGCTAACTATTATATGAGAGTGTAAATTTACCCAATGCACTTATACGATTGGCTGCGGGTTCCTTCATTACCAAAAAGAAAAAAAAAAAAAAAAAAAGCCGAATGCTTCGTAAAACTTTTGTGGTTCGATCGAATATCCAGAATAAACAAAATCTTGGAAGGCAAATAAGAACATGAGCAGTAAAGTAGAGAGCATATGGAGAAAAGCATATATATAATAACTTTACACAATATGCTAACCACCAATAATTACAAACCTGCATAAAGAATCAATACTATCTTTACAATAAAATACATACAAAAAGAGAGGATAACTTAGTTACCTGTCTTAAAGTTCAAAATTCCTTCTTAAGAATCCATGAAGAAAGATGCAACTGAACAAAGTCGTCTGTCACGAATCTCGATTTAAAATATCGGTTTTCGACAAGGATAGATAAAGAACATATCTTTGGAGATTTATCATAAACAAACGTTCGCAGAATCTGATTGCAATTGTTAGACGACGGATTTCTCATAAAAGTAAAGCTGCATACATATCGAATTAAATTCATCGAAGCAAAAGAAAACATAAAAAACATTTTCCCGGAAATTCGTAACCGCATTTCTTATATTACAAAAGACTTACACCGATATTGTATATCTATATAGACTGTGACCATGTAAACCCCGAGCTCGAAACTCTACAGTATATGATATCAGAAACCAGATCACCTTATTGCCTATTACAATTATATCATATTACCAATATTAATAATCGAAGATGGAAACCATAAAACCAAACTCGCTGCTTTAAAATTGTTCGTTCGACCTAGCTTGCGGAGCAGATGCATCTGGTAATACAGCAACAGTGGGGCCCGCTGCCACGGCGGTCTGGTATTTAGCAGCAGCTAGCTGATGTGGCAAAGGGGTGTAGTACATTGGACCGTGGTTAGTAGTCGGCTCGGCGTATTCGTAACCGTAACCGGGATTAACTGGTGCGGAAGAAGGGTGGTGGATTTGACTGTAGCCGACGTACTGCACACCTGCAGCTGTGGTTGTGGTTCGATAAAGACCGACGCCGATCTCGGGTGCGTTTCTTGATTGAGGGGCTTGTCTGTTGGATATGTAGTACATTGGGTACTGATTATCGAGCATGGGCTGGTGTTGTTCTTGAGAAGGGTATATTGGGTAATACGAAGCGATCGGTACAGCTGGGATGTATTGGTTATTGGTGTGGATGAACTGTTGCGGGGTGATGTGAGTTTGATCGTATTGGGCGGATAATACGTAACTCGATTCTTGAAACTGCGGATGCATATGGAGGTTGTTTTGATCAGTAATCTTTGGATCGAGAACGTGATTAGGGGTAATCGGACCGTTTGTCGACTGGATTAGTGGTTCTTGATAAGTAGCTTGTATCTGCTTGGATTGTGGGTTTTTTGTAATTTCTTCACTGTTATCAATTAATTCATCAAAAAATCCCAATTCAGATATAAGAACACACACACACACACACACAAAATTAAATTAAATTAAATTAAATTAAAATAAGGAAAACACTAATTTAGGGATGTACCTTGAAACTGAATCTGGGGAAGGCAAATCAGAAGCACTGATTTGATTCTGCTGAAATTGGGGTGGTTGTACCTGCGGCTGAATTTGTTGTACCTGTATGTAACCGCCGTGATCGGATCTCTCATCGTCGGAAGACCCTCGATTAGCAGCAGCATACTCACCAGCAACCACCGCCGTCAGCCCAGAGACCACCGTCCCACTCCCAGCCGCGACGCCGCCGCCGGCCGTAAAAACCCTAGCATCTTCCTGCTTCGGCTGTAGCGGCGAATTGGCATTTCCGGCAACACCAACACTCATCTGCTGAAATTGCTCCTCAATTCCCGAACCTCCGATCTTCGGATCGGACGGAGAGCCGGAAGCGGAACCTGAGGAAGACGACGACGTTTCCGGCAGCGGAGAACCCCGCACCGAGTGTACATCCTGATTGCCAACGTAACCGCCGTTAAAAACTCCGTTTCCAGTACCAACGGACTTTGATCCCTCCGTTAGGGGTTCGGCATCTTTCTCCACGACGGCGGCCGCCGCCGCCGCCTTTACGAAAAAATCATCATCCAACCCCAGTAGACAATTGACCGACGACGACTCTGAAAACCCACGATCACTACCAGAGCCCGCCTTCCAATTGAGAGCGTTGAAAAACCACCCCTCCGATTTAACACTCGACGGTGATTTCGGGAACAAGAAGAGGCGGAGGCGGCCGTGCTTCGCCCGGCCACCGCCGCCGCCGCCGTCACTGAGGCGGTCGTATTCATCCACCATGTTCTCGAAATCCTCGTCGGCGGTGACCGAGATTAGGGAATCCAAATCCTCGTCGGGGAGTTGGTATTTCAGGGAGAAGGGCTGATTGTCGAGGAGGATCTTCGAGAGGCGGCGGTTGAATTCGGAAAGTGAGGTGTGGCGGTCGACGGCGATGATCCGGGTGTCTCCTCCGACGTAGCAGAGAGTCTTGTCGTGCGGGCGGGGGACCACGTGGCCGCCGTAGCTGCACATGAGGCGGAGCTTCGGCGGCGGAGGGTCGGCGTTATACGAGCCGGTGTGGCGAGTGCGAGGGGAGGAGCCGACAGAGGCCGCGTAAAGCGCCGGGGTTGCGGTGGTGGTGGTGGAAATTGGCGGAGCAGCAGAGTGTGGTGGGGCCTCCATGAAAGTAGTTTGAGTTGGAAGAGAGAGAAATGGGAAAAAGGCAGTTGTGCTGGTTGGACAATTGCCTCTTTTTTTTATACTTCTTTGCAATTTATTTTCATTATTATATTGCTACTATCTATTTATTTTTATTTTTATTTTTTTATAATAAATTGCAAAATTACTGGAATTAGGTCATATTATATCTAGACCCTCTTCAATTTGAAAAATTATATTTATGTACTTAAAGTTTGATTACAGTCAACAATTGACTGTAATTCATTTTTTCTTTACCATTAATCAAATATGTGTAAATTTTTATTGTCCTTTTATTTAAATTTAAATAAATGGTTTTAATTTCGCGCGAAGAGAAATAACGATTCTCCATCAAATCGACCACTAAAAATTGGTTTCCGATCATGCGAGTAATCTGTTTAGAAGATGGGCGCAAATAAGAGATGAGTATGGGCGAGCGAGAGGGTGAATAATTACGTAATCAATGGGGTTCGTGCAATTCATCTTAATAAGATATATGTAATTTTTAACATGTGAGAGAGTCTAAATATAATTTAACCTGACCTCAAGGAGGTAAATGTGATATAGACCCTTCATTTTATTCAATTTTAGTAAGAAATCATCATAATTATTAACTACAATTTTCTTGAATATATGTTCTACCACGCCATAAATACAAAATATGTAATCTTTGACATCAAATGTGTAATATTTTCCTTGTACGTTATATGTAAACAATTTAAACATGTAAATGAGTTATTTATTCATGACTTATTTATAAAATCAAATCTTTAATTGAGACATCTCTAATTACATTTGAGACCTTACATTACTAAACCATATTATTTGAACTTCATGAAATCTACTCTGGTGAAATGTAAATTTGAAATTATTATATATATTTTTCAAAATTCAAGAGAACTCTTGTTTATTAAATCTAAGAAGATTAATGTGAAAATAAGTGGGGATTATCTAAATCTAGGTGTATATATATATATTAGCAAAAATCATTAAATAAATAAATAAATAGATATTAGCAAGGGTAAATTACAATCACCTTCTTGAAGTAAAGTTTAAGTACAACGGAACCCTTATTTTTGAGAAATTACATACAGCCATCTGTAGTTTGAAAATTTCTTACATCCACACCGCTATAAAAGGATGCTATTGTAAGCAATCTGCAAGTTACAAGGGTGGATTTAATTATGAAAAAATGAGGGGGGGTTTTCGTAAATATGTGTTACTGCAACGGGGCGATTGTAATTTACCCTATTAGCAATAAATGTATGTGATAAATATCTATGAGGATTGTGTGAAGATGTTTCTTGGTTGCAATAATGAGGGAAAACAAACAGGAAAAGAAGTGGGGCTTCTGTACGGTGTAAAGAAAAGGGGGTGCAAGTTGCAAACTGAAAACTAGTGAGGGGCTAAGCGGAAAATCAGGTTAAAATTTAAAAAAACGGAAGTGAAAGTAATAGTTAATTTCAAAGAATACGTTCTGTTTAAGATAAAAGTAAAAACTGTTGCGTGACAGAGGAGTGAATAAAGAAAATTACTGTAGTATATATTTTACAGCATTTTATAGTACACGTATATATATATAATTGGTGTATGGGTTGAATTTACAATTTTGGACCAATAATAAAATAATATCATAATTGGGTTTCTTGAAAACCCAAATTGTTAGTATTATCGTACAAGCTCATTCTTATGGTCAAATTTACCTATTGAATGAGGGGTTTTTTCGTAAAATAATATATAGTTGAGGATTAATTGTAATTATCTATACAAGAGGGGTATTTTCATAATTTGACCAGAATTTTTCCTAAACTAATAAAGCTTTTAGGCCGTATTGAAGATTCTTTTGGGGTCAAATATACGATTATTTTTGTAAATTTGGGGCTCTAAATTTGTTTAGGCCCAATTACAAGGCCCATTTAGTTTTATTTTTATTTTTATTTTTTTGTTATATATGTATTTGTTTAGCATCATATATCATGTATCTAATATTCTTCTCCAAAATTGATTGGATAAGATAGGTGTAACGATAATTTTCTTATTACAGATAGAGCTGACATAATAAAGGTTGTTTGTCATGGTGTGGCATTTAAGAATAAAGTTGATCAATATATTGAACTAATACTCAATAAAATAAAAATAAAAAGCCTAATTTTAAGCTATTATATCAACTTATCACTATTCGGCTTATTCTTAAGAATTAATATTCCATGAATTTGACAAAACTATATGATGGGATAAAGGAATCATGTGCATGAAAGCCAATTATTTCATGTTGTTTTTGGAATATATGAAATAAAAGAATTGTTCTTATTAAATGTTTATTCCCATTCTTGATGATTTGCCTCGGGACTTGGACAACTATTTTGTGTATTTATGCTTTTGTACTGAACTTTTTTATTATTTAACAAAATTACACTGTGGCGATCGGACTTTGTTTGATGTTTGGCGGGTCGACCATCAATGCAGTAAATATTATATTATCATGACTTATTTTGCCTTTTAAGTAGTTCTTTTTGTTGGATGTCTCAGAGATCGATAAAATAATTATTATTTTTGTTAAATTATTTAATTTTGTATTGACAATCAAACGAGAGTTGCATATGTAGAATCTTAGATAATGACGCATTTAAATGGAAGACGAAGAAGAATCTGCACCTTTGGACATGCAATATTTCATGTGGATTCGACGATCCGTCGTCAATCCACGGATTTGTTATCAATTATTCCTTTGTGTATAATCAAATAAAAGATTTTTGTTTATATAATCTGGTTTAATTATTTGGTTGGTTATGTTCATGTATTAATCATATGTATTATTGGTTGATAGATTATGTGATTGGATAATTTGGTCCAAAAAGAATTACTATTAGAACTCTATAATAGCAATTGTTGTAATTGGGCTTTAATTGTTTTTATTGGGCTTTTATACGTGATCGGAAGCCCAAGGGAGAGAACAATTTCCATTGAGCTTTAATTGTTGTAATTGGGCTTATTCTTCTGAACATTTCTCATATTATGACAATTAATACATTGCAAATAATAATAATTTATTCTACAAGCTTAATATTTTATTTTTCTTCAAAAAATATTGATTTTTTCAAATTCATTTAATTGCCAATTCGTCCTTTTTTTAATACTCAATCAACCAGTAATAAATAGGTAGGTACCTGGACCATTCACTCAATAAATTTGAACGTGCCACCTTGAATTAATCAGCGGTTGAATGGGGTCGCTCGGCGGCACGCGGTACTTGATGTATTTTATCCGGTGATTTTAAACCGTAGATTTATATAAATAAAAATTCACTAACCACACGTACACACGAATCTGTATTATTGTATGTAAATCACAAAATCACCTGGTGTATTTCACTGAAGTAACATCTACAAAACCGCAGTACGATATAATTGATATTTTAAGTTTGTTTTTTTAGAAAATTGCGGTGAGATTATTCGATATGAAGCGATTATTAATTAAAATAAAAGTATATCGGAAAAAATACATTTTTCATCCCTCAAGTTTGCACCAATTTCATATTTGCTCCCCATGATTACAAAAAATATATTTGGTCCATCATGTTTCAATAATTTAACACTTATATAGTTATTTCCGTCATTTTACCGTTAACTCGCAGTGGCGGACACACCCTTGATTCTGTTAGTAATAATAAAAAAATTACGGAAAAGACTAAAAGTATTGTATTTTTGAAACACGAGGGATCAAATGTGTTTTTATGTAAATATGATGGACCAAATGTGGAATCAGTGCAAACTTGAGGGGTGAAAAGTGCATTGTTTCCCAAATAAAAACCTCGCCGCGTACAACTGATTAATTAATCCAACGGCTGAGCAAAGTTGACCGTAGCTCTCTCTATATAGTCGTTAAAATTGAATATAGTATATAGTCTTCAACCGTTGGCACCGCTGCTTCACTTGCATTTCAAATTGCCACTTCAACCCCACGACCCATATAAACCCTCCTCTCTCGCTCTACTCTCTCTCTACTTTCTCTCTCTAATCTTTCTTTCCATAGCTTTTCGATCAAGAGATCTCGGTGCCATTTAGCAAGCTTTACTGTGAAATCGGGGGTCCACTCAATTACAGCATCGACGACAATTCAGGAATTTATTTTTTCTTCTTCTAGAAGGTAATCAATCGTTGATTTTTCGCCCTAGCTTAAATTTCACCGCAAGGTACTGTCGTTACTCGTTAGTTGTTGGAACATCGTTCACGATAAATAGATTGCTTGTTTCTTCACCATTTGGCCAATCAAGTACTGATAATCTCTGTTGGTGTTTTCTCCTTAGAATCTGGAAAAATCAGCGCTGTTTGAGGGGTTGATTTCTCTTGTTTGCGAATGGGTTGGAAGGATATGATATCGTTTTGCCCTAACATGTTTCAGGTTTGTTTTTATTTATTTAATTGTTATTTTTTTTTTTCCGTTTCTGATGTATCTTTTACTGTTGGACCGAAAAATTGCTAAATATGGCTTGCCTAGTTGATATTTCAATTTCAGTGATTTTCTTATTGTGTTAATTTTAAGTTTGAAGTAACTTGTGATTAGTATGATGCAGTTTGGTTCGTGTAGATAGAATATACCACTGATCATTCAATTAATAGACAACCGAGTACAGTGTTGGATTGATTGTCAAAATATTATCGCATCGATTGTTTTTCAGTGTTAGGATACTATTCTAAGAGGGAAATTTCCCGGAGTTTCTGTTTTGGGCGTGAATTGATATTTCTTGGATTTGACAACTGCAATTGATTTATAAAACTAATAGTATTCGTGCATTTTGTGGAATACTAACAGGGTAGTAGAGCAAACGAGGTCGAGCTTGGTTGCCAACATACAATAAAGTCACATGGAGGAAAAGTCGCGAAGACTCACAAACACGATTGGTTGATACTTATACTGCTTGGAGGTATAGAAATCGTGTTGAATATAACTCAGCCGTTCTACCGTTTTGTTGGTAAAGACATGATGACCGATCTTAGATATCCCATGAAAGAAAATACCGTTCCAGTATGGTCAGTTCCGGTGAGTTTTTTTACAAAAAAAAAAAAAAAACTAATAAAATAAAATAAAAGTTATAATATCTTAGTTATGTTGCTGACATATTTACTGGTGTTTTTTTTTTCTTTTTTTGGCGATTAGCTTTATGCAGTTTTGTTGCCTATTCTTATATTCACGATATACTATATCCGAAGGAAAGACGTCTATGATTTGCATCATAGTGTACTAGGTATTATACTAGTTGTCCCTTTTCTTGTACTAATGTTAGTTTTTAAGGATTTCAGTATATTGCGTAAGACGAGCAAATAACATTAACATGGTCGTGAGCGAAAAATGCAGGACTATTGTTTGCTGTGCTGATAACTGGAGTTCTCACTGATTCAATAAAAAACGCAGTTGGCCGACCAAGGCCCAATTTCTTCTGGCGTTGCTTTCCTAATGGGCAAGATGTAATATTCAATATACTTTTTTAATTTTATTATACTTTTAATTTGCTAAAATCGATTTAAAAAAGATACCCGTAATGCAGTTTTTTCTTTCTCTTTTTGTTCCTGGATTATTAGACATCAAATGGTTTTCTGCATTAGAACTTTGGTTTGGTATAATCAATATATAGTATGGCATTAGATAAAAAGTTGGAAATTAAAATGCACAGATTTTTCGATTATTCGAAAAGCCATATTTTCTATTATTCGAAAAGTCATATTTTCTATTATTTTAGCCACGATTGTAACTTACTTTATCTTTTTTTTTTTCCAAATTATCAGTTATACGATCAGTTGGGTGATGTTGTGTGCAATGGTAAAGCCAGTGAAATAAAAGAAGGGCACAAGAGTTTTCCAAGCGGTCACACTTCATGTAATTGAACTTCTTGATTTTAAATTTAACCTGTGATAATGATAAATAAGGGTGTGGTAAAACTTGGATCATGTGACGGATTTTTACGAATTTTTATTTTTTTTGCAGGGTCTTTTGCGGGTCTTGGTTTTCTATCTTTCTACTTGGCCGGAAAAATTAAATGCTTTGATGGGCGTGGCCACGTCGCGAAATTATGCATTATATTTCTCCCCATACTTGTTGCTTGTCTAGTCGGTGCTTCTCGTGTTAGTGACTACTGGCATCACTGGCAAGATGTGTTTGCCGGGGGTCTACTAGGTAGGTCCCGTTTGGATATGATAAAAAATATTAAAATAAAACGCTTGTTCGATTTATTTTATTTAATTTTATTTTTGTACTCTTTTTTCAGGGCTTTCGGTTGCTACATTTTGCTACCTGCAGTTCTTCCCACCTCCATACCACACTGAAGGTAGATTTTCCCTACTTGAGTTTTTGTTTGGCTCTTTCTTATTCTTTTTCTGATTTTTATTGAATTTTATGGTTGGGGTATCGTTTATTTCAATTTTCAGCAATGTTTTCGAGGCTTTCATATAATAGTAGTTGCAAAGATGCTTATACAAAATTTCTTTCTTAGACACCCTTTTTCAACATTGCTGTTATAGTTCTTAGCATTTGAATCTCAATCATTGCCGCCGTTTTCTTGGTTTTTGTGATTGTTCTAACTAGTGGTAGGAATTGGAAAGGAAATTCCAAATTTCATCAATTCTGATTTCCAAAAACTCCAGATTTTTTTTTGAACGGAATTGGAACATATAGTATATTCCTCCCGGTTTCAGATCTGATTTTAATTTCCGAAATTCCGATTTTTTCCCCAGAAAATTACACTTAATATCAATATGGTTATGTAATTATAGGCAACCATACAATTAGAATTTTCGAATTCTGCTGATTCCAATCCGATTTTTTTTAAGAGCAAATTTATTCGTTCCGATCTACGAAATTCCGGTTTTCGAATTTCTCGAATTCTTTCATATAAATAAACGGGGGAAATTATCTTATTTTCGATTGCTCCTGATTGCAGGATGGGGCCCATATGCATATTTTCGAGCATTGGAGGAATCACGTTCGATATTAGTTCCTCCTCCGAATAACGAGATAGGCATGCAAGGAGTGAATCTGAATCATCAAAATCAAGACTCGAGTTTTGATGCTATGGAGTCTGGAAGAAGGTAGTACTACTATTTATAAAATAGTTCTTTTTTTGTCCAGTCCCTTGGGTTTGTTTGTGTAAGAACATCTGGTTTGAAGGAAATTCCTGTTAATATATTCCTGTTCCCAAGTATTGATTGGTTGAATTAGCATCTAAATACTTATTCTTTTATTGTGTACTATATACATACTGTTTGGGGCTAAGAAGATTATATTGGAATTTTTATTCTTTAATAAATTAAATTGTGAAATAATAGGCGTAGCGTTTGGATTAAAACAATTTTATTTTTTTGTTTGAGATAAAAAAAAACATTTCTTTTAGGGTAAATTACGTAAACCCCCTTGAACTTAGGCTACATTATGAAAGCATCCTCACCTATCTATAATTACCAAAAAAATTCGACGTTTGTTTTCATCTTAAGCCGATCCCCTTATTGTGTAATTTTTCACAATTTTTTTTTTATTCCAGTTATTATTTCACGAAAAAATGTCAATTCTACCTCTTCAAACGTGGCATTTCTGTATGTTATTTTTTAAAGACAAAAATTACTCTCACATGGGTAATGGTGTATTAAAAAGTTGCAAATTTGTTATTTAAGAAAGGAGTTTTCGTGTAAAGGCTCCCGAAGGATAATTTTTGCCGTTAAAAAATAACATAAAGAAATGTAACGTTTGTAAGAGTAGAATCAGCATTTTTGTGAAATATTACTTGAAATAAAAAAGATTTCCATGAAAAACCACCTTGTCAGGAGGTCGGCGTAAAATGGAAATCAAACGTCGGGGATTTTGCTAACATTTTTCATAATTTAGCTTAAGTTGAGGGGTTTTTCATAATTTACCCATTCTTTTATGAAAAGGGTGAAACCGTAAAAGTACACCCAAAAGACTTACGTGTGGGATTTGAATCTTTTACAGTAAAGTTTGGTGAGAAGTACCATCTGTAAGGCTATTTATTTAATCAAAAAAAAAAAATATCATAAATTGGACGCATAATGACAATTAACATAGTTTCTTAAATGGCCTTGTTATCTAACCGTGTCCACTTATTGTTATTGAATAATTATGCTACATCAATTAATTAGCTCCATAATTGTGCTATTTACACTAAGTATACTTTCATAGTATTTGAAACGACAGGTGAATAATTTCACAAACTTTATTAGACAGAAAGAAAGAAAGAAATGGAAAAAACAAGTCGAATTCTAGAAATAAAACGATATTAATTATATTATTTAGGCTTAGAGATTTATTAGACTTAATTATTTTCAATAATTTAAAATTGTATGGTATAGGTAATAGGGAATGGCTTAATCCCACTTTGCACCCTTGAAGTATACTATTTTTTCACTTTGCACCATCGAAACAAATTAGTAGCACTTTACACCTCGAAACACAATAAATCATGCATAATGTACCCCAAATGAATATTTAAAGCTAATAAAAATAATTTAATATTTTTAGTGGTATTTTTTTATGACAAATGTCAAATCCTTTTTATTTATTCATTATTTATTTTGAAATTATGAAGTGCAAGCATAAAAATACATCTCATCAACATATTTAAAAATTATATTTAATTAATCAGAAAAAGATATTTTACGAAAAAAATTAATTCAGCTATTTTGTTATCAAGTTATCTGAAAATCATATTTATTCCAAATATTTCTACATAATATTTCCACCAGTTGCAATAAAAGATCCATCAATCGAATAATTTATTGATAAAAGTTTATTTTATTTTGTTTTGTAAGAAAATATAATTGTTTTTAATAATCCGGTGTGACTTTTATTTTTCCTCACTTTATGTACACAAAATTTGGTTGGAGGTTGAAGAAAATAGCAATTTAATTTTTTATTTTGTATTCCGGAAAAAAAACTAATAAAAAAAAGAAAGAAATTGTCTTAATTATTCAATTCATGGTGCATGTGAATAATGTATTGAGTTTTGAAGGTGCAAAGTGCTATTATTATTTTTTCAAGGGTGCAAACTGGCAAAAAACTCCATTTCAAGGGTGCAAAGTGGTATTAAGCCTGAATAACTGACCTATTGAGTATTGACAAATGACAACCCATGCCCCCACCACACACACACAAATAAATCACACTGCGAAGCCCATTTTTAGACGGAATCACGGATTTTACGCTGAGAAATTAGTTTGAGGCTGAAAGTGAAAATGGGAACTCCGATAAGAGTGGTCGCCGTCGGCGATCTAGCGCCGTACCATCTGTTGAAGGATTCCGGCGACGACTCGCGCCTCAATCAGCTCGGCTACAAGCAAGAGCTCAGCCGCAGCCTCTCGTACGTTTCTCGTTTTCTCCTACTTAATTTCAAATTAATTTTTTTTTTCTCTCTCTCTCTCTCTCTCTCTCTCTCTCTATATATAGTATTTCTCTGTGATTAACCAAGGATTCACCATTTTAAAATCTGTGAAAATGTCGATACCCTTTTTGTTTTCCGTTTCGAATTTTGTGGCGATATTCCGTTTAAAGGTTCACCGTTTGTCCATTCCCGATCAACGGTTCGTCACTGAAGAGATTATCTCCCCCAATCAATATTATTATTATTTTTTTTTATTTTTATTATTATTATTATGAGTATCAAAGTAGAGATTCTGCCGAAGAAGATAATATTATTTTATTTTTATTTTCTGTTTTACAAGAATATAAAATAAATTTTTCCTTATTTTAAGTATGTGACAAAATCAAACAATGTACGTATTCAGATGGGTAGAGTGTAGACTCATCAACTCATCTATTCGTCCACATTACAACTTGCAAATCACCATAAGAATATGGATTTTTATATATTTAACAGCAAAAAATGTCTCGGCAAGTGAGCCTGTTGCAATTGACTCAGGTTCGAGTCACTTAGCAAACAATCGCTAGGTGGACCTTGTCACAATAGTTAGCCTAATGTGGTTGACGTCTCTCGTATGGTTTTCAAGTTAATTACCCAGTGCAGTGCGCACATATATAGTCGGTTAGATTCCTTCATCACAAAAATATCCAATTTTGATATATAATTTTATTTAAAATACGTATGAATCTATACAATTTGAGTTGGGCTTGATTATGTTTTTTATTATGTGTGGACAGGGCTGTATCAAACTTCTCAGTGACTTTCTCAATAATATCGGTATTGACGGGGATAAACACATTGTACAATCAGGGCCTAACTTTTGGTGGGCCGGTGACTATGGTATATGGGTGGCCGATTGTGGGCCTATTCACCTTCCTTGTGGGCCTTTCTCTTGCCGAGATCTGCTCCGCCTATCCAACCTCCGGCGGCCTTTATTTCTGGAGTTCTAAGCTTTGTGGTAATCGCTGGGGCCCTTTCGCTTCTTGGCTCACCGGCTGGTAATTTTACCTTTCCCCAACTCTTTTTATTATATTTCTAATTTTCTTTCTAACTATATATTAGTAAGTGACTGATATGTGAGACTTTTAATATATGAATCTATGGTTTATGGGCCCTTTGGTTAACATTGCTAGAGTATTTCATACTAATTCATCTTTAACATTTTTTGAGTGAGTGGGGTAAATGATATGAATTAGAGGGACTAAATAAATGAATGTTGTCGTTGGAGATTTGATTTTTTTTCTTTCCTTTTTTGCTTGGTAGGTAATGCTTGATTGTGATTAACTGGTTTGTTACTCTAAGTAATTATATAAATACATTAAAATTAACATCTCACTATGAAGAACTAATAAATAATGAGATTTGAGTTGACTCTAGGAAGATATTATAAGTTGATGATGGGTCATTCAACTATGTAGATTGGCAGATCAGCTACTAAAGATACATTATTTATTTTATTACAATTTGGAAGTTGATTATCTTATTTTATTTTTATTTTATAATTTAGATGTGCAAGCTTTTAATATTTTACTGTATTTATATATAATTATTTGTATATAATAATAGTGTGAGCACAGAGATCGAGGAAGGTTTCCTCGATTGGCTAAAAAAATCTGAGTTTCAGTATATTTAATAGCTATTCACGTGGCTACACCAAATACTCTCGGAATAATGTGTTATAGGAATCTTATCATATTGATTCCAACACAATCTAAAATTCCAAAATTTTATTTACTATTACTAATAAAAAGAAAAATCTCAGTAATAAATAGTAGCTAAATAAAAATAAGATAAAGAATTGAATTAATCGGGAAATAATTATAATTGGAGATCAGACGAAGCTCGTCAACTCTGTAAAATTATACACGAACTTGAGCTTGAGCTTGAGTTTGAGCGTGGCCCCTTCGAACAAGTTAGATATTGTCATTAAAGGAATTAAAAATAAGTACAAGTAGCGTTGGTGCAACAAGGCAGTACTTGTCTTGTCTATTTCATGTTCATTTACTATATATATATATATATATATATATATATATATATATATATAGACTTTTTTTGTGTGCCTTCTTCCTTAGGCAAATCATAGTATAATGCCAACAAATAACTCTATAATTTATAATTCCAAGTTTAGATTCAAATTAAAAAGGGGATCTAGGTGGCGTGTTTGATGTCATGCATCGCTGATGACTGTTGATGAGGAAAAGGTAATCGTGGGGGATCTAGGGTGAAAATGAACTTAGTATTTGAACTACTCAAAGAATATAAATTTTGTCTTTAATGGGGAAAATGAGGTTTGACATTTCCCTATTATTGTAATACATGGAGTTTTATATCTAACAACCCCAGTTATTTATCAAATCTTCAATTTTTAAAAAGAAAAAAAAAAAGATATTCTTTTATTTAATTTTAAAGTAAAATGTAGAAATTACTATAATTTATGTCTGAAACAGAGAATTAAACTGAAATTGTAGGAATTACTATAATTTTAAACTAAAAAAAATAAAAATAAAAATCAAAAATTTCTTTTCAAAAAATAAATAAATAAAAAGGCAGAAAATGACTCATAATTCTCCAAGCAGTTGATTAAATTATTAAAAATTGTATTTATCGCTTCTTAATTAAAGGAAAAAAGAATCAGAAATCTCTAATCATGAATTAAGAACCAATCCGCAAAGCTGGTTGCTTTGTTTGACCACACATCGCTTCTGTTGACAGCTAACTAAACTACAAAAAACCAACGAAAAGTCCGAAAAAAAAAAAGAAAAAATCAAAATCAAAATAAAAAACCATTTCCTTCGAACAAGCATTTGCCACTCCCACATACATAGGATTACTGTGGCAAGAATCTTGGACAAGAATAAGTCCTCCGTTCTGAATCAAACAGCATCTCTCTCTCTCTCTTCTCTCTCTCTCTCTCTCTCTCTCACACACACACACACACAGAGCAGTAAAAGAAGAAGAAGAAGAGAAGATGGTGTATGAACGTGGAGAAAATAATCAGTCACGTGTGCAAGAAAGCGGCCGTGATTCTGTTACTGACTCCGGCCATGCACGTTTGAACGAGCTTGGCTACAAACAAGAACTCAAGCGCGACCTCTCGTAAATCATCTTTTTTTTTTTTTAAGATTCAATTTTTTTTCTTCTTTTCTCGATCTTTATTCATTCATTAATTTTTTTATTTTTTATTTTAATTTAATTGGAGAACGGCAGAGTGCTGTCGAACTTTGCGTTTTCGTTTTCAATAATATCGGTGCTCACCGGAGTAACCACACTCTACAACACCGGTCTGACTTACGGCGGACCCGTTTCTCTGGTATACGGATGGCTGATTGCCGGTTTTTTCACAATGTCTGTTGGGTTTTCAATGGCTGAGATTTGCTCTTCTTACCCCACTTCCGGTGGTCTCTATTATTGGAGCGCTAAGCTCGCCGGCCCGAGTTGGGCTCCCTTTGCCTCTTGGATGACCGGATGGTAATTATTATTAATTTTTTTTTATGGAAAATAAATTTTAGTTTTATCAATCGAGTTTTTTTTCCGTTTTCTGCTTAGTTACCGACACTAGCGGAGCCAGGATTTGCAGTCCGAGAGGGCCGCCGTTAATGCTAGTGTACACAAATTTTAGATTTTTATATAAATTAATAGAGATTTGAAAAATGTTGGGGGGGGCATGCCCCCCTTGGCCTTACGCTGGCTTCGCCACTGGTTACCGAGACTTGAATTCTTTAATGCTCTTTTTAGCCTGTTTTTGCTGTTTCTTTGTGTGTAAAGCTAACTTTGTTTTATTACCAACTTTGAGCTTCGTGTTTATTCAAGACAATCTTGTCTTTGGTGGGACAGTTCCGAAGCGACGAACATTTTCCTAAATTATTTGCCTACCTAATTCTTGTGTCTGTGGCTGGATTCTCATTGGCCATTATTAACTTTAATTATATGGAGTTTGTAGCTTATATCGATGACTGCAGTTTAACCTCTAGTTATATCCTGCGTAATTTTGAAGTAATTGGAATTGTATAGATCACTGTATTTGCTTGACTTCTTTTTCGCCCAAGAAAAGATGACGATTTGAATTAAATCAGTTATCGTTTTCCTTTTTGTGCAGGTTTAATATTGTTGGCCAGGTACTTCCTAAGCATTCAATCGTGCATCCGAAAGTTCTTATCTAATGTTGCTTTCCAGTGGCCGAGCCACCATAGGATGGGGGGCTATGGCCCCCCTCAACTTCTCAAAAATCTACTATTTTATATAATTTTTTTTTCTTCGAATAGTGTAATAATTATTTCTCTTGCAGTGGGCTGTTACAACGAGCGTAGATTTTTCACTAGCGCAGTTGATATCGGTAATAATTCTCCTCAGCACAGGCGGCAAAAACGGAGGAGGGTACGAGGCCTCTAAATACGTAGTTATCGCATTTCACGCCGGAATTCTGCTCTTGCATGCTACCATCAACAGTCTTCCTATCTCGTGGTTGTCCTTCATCGGACAGCTCGCTGCTGCATGGAACATCCTAGGTACCCTAAATTAATAATTTTTATGTTTTATAAGGGCCATTATGCAATATATTTAAATATATTTTTTTTCGAATTTTCAGGTGTCTTTGTTCTCATGATCCTAGTTCCCTTGGTTGCAACCGAAGGAGCCAGCGCCGAATTTGTTTTTACTCACTTCAACACAGATAACGAAGTAGGAATCGGCAGTTCGTTGTACATATTTGTTCTTGGACTTCTCATGAGTCAGTATACGCTAACAGGTTACGATGCATCTGCACATATGGTGAGTATTATATGAATTTTCAGTCGATTATAGTCGTTTTTGAGTATTATATTTATTGAATTTTTATTTGCCGACAACGGGTTATTTCAGACAGAGGAGACTAAAGATGCGGATATAAATGGACCGAAGGGAATAATAAGTTCAATTGGAATATCCGTAATTGTTGGCTGGGGTTATATATTAGGTATCACATTTGCAGTAACTGATATCCCAAAACTTTTGAGCCCGGAAAACGATGCTGGTGGTTATGCAATTGCTGAAATATTTTACCAGGCTTTCAAGAGTCGGTACGGTAGTGGTGTGGGCGGAATCGTTTGTCTCGGTATAATTGCTGTTGCTATATTTTTCTGTGGCATGAGCTCGATCACTAGCAATTCCAGGTAAAAAAAAAAGTAAAAAAAATAAAATTTAAATGTTTGACAGTTTTCGAAATTTTGACAAGTGATTCATACGGTATTAATGTTACTAGGATGGCGTATGCGTTCTCGAGAGATGGTGCGATGCCGTTCTCGGAATTTTGGCATAAAGTGAACAAGTATGAGGTCCCTATAAACGCAGTTTGGCTGTCGGCTTTTATAGCTTTCTGCATGGCTCTAACGGTACGTTTGTCATACTTGAAAATTCTCGGAATTGTTTTTTTTTTTCGTGAAAAAATGTAGTTACATTTTGCCGTGTAATATATTTTATTGCAGTCACTCGGAAGCTTAGTGGCGTTCCAAGCCATGGTATCGATAGCTACTATAGGGCTCTACATAGCTTATGCTTTGCCGATATTTTTCCGAGTTACATTGGCTCGGAAATCCTTTTCTCCGGGCCCGTTCAACTTGGGCAAATACGGAGTTCTTATTGGTTGGATTTCTGTCTTGTGGGTGGCCACAATTTCGATTCTTTTCTCACTGCCGGTAGCATATCCGATTACCGACCAAACTCTCAATTATACCCCTGTTGCTGTTGGAGGGCTACTCATTCTCACTGTTTCCTCTTGGTTTCTTAGTGCAAGGCACTGGTTAAAGG